TTCAAGAAACCATAAGAGATCTACATAAATGGAAGAAAATCCCATGCTCACGGATAGGAAGATTGAACATTGTGAAAATGTCAATTCCAATCAAAGCAATCTATACATTCAATGCAATCCCAATAGAGATCTCATCAACATTCTTTAGGGATATGGAAAAACCAGACATTAACTTTGTATGGAAAGGAAAGAGACCTTGGATAAGCAAAGCACTATTGAAGAAGAACAAAGTAGGAGGTCTCACACTGCTGGATCTCAAAAGCTACTAGACAACCACAGTAGTCAAAACTGCTTGGTATTGGTTTAATGATGGATACATAGACCAATGGAATAGAATTGAGAACCCAGAAAGAGATCCATCAACCTGTGGTCAGCTGATCTTTGACAAAGGGCCAGAATCCATTAAATGGGGAAGAAAATGTTTGTTTAAGAAATGGTGCGGGCAAAACTGGAGATCCATTTGCAGAAAAATGAAACAAGATCTATACCTCACACCATACACAAAAACAAGCTCCAGATGGGTCAAAGACTTAAATGTGAAACCTAAAACTATACAGTTCCTCAAGGAAAAACTAGGGGCAGATTTAGGGACCCTAATATATGGCATAAATGAACCATCAAGCATAACTCAAAATGCACAAACAGCAGAAGAGAAACCAGATGAGTGGGACCTTCTAAAAATTAAATTTTTATGTGCTTGCAAAGACTTCTCCAAAAGAGAACCTACAGATTGGGAAAAAATACTTGGTAATGACATATCTGACAAGGGACTTATCTCTAGAATTTATATAAAACTCCAACACCTCAATAAGAAAAAGACAAACAATCCAATTTTAAAAAGGGCAGAAGATGTGAATAGACACTTCACTAAGGAGGTTATTCAAGTGACCAACAAACATATGAAGAAATGCTCACGATTATTAGCTATTAGAGAGATGCAAATCAAAACAACAATGAGATACCATGTTGCTCCAGCACTAGTAGCAAAGTTCAACAAGACAGAAAATAACAAATGGTGGCGAGGATGTGGAGAGATTAGGACTCTCCTACACTGCTGGTGGGACTGTAAAATGGTACAACCATTGTGGAAAGCAGTATGGAGAATCCTTCAAAAGTTGGAACTAGAAATACCATTTGACCTACCCATTCCATTACTAAGTATATACTCTAAAGAAGTAAGAGCCATGACAAGAACGGATATATGCACACCCATGTTCATCACAGCACTATTTACAATAGCCAAAA